ATCCATGGCTGGAAGTAGTACTGTGCACGACGTTCTTCTTCTGGATTTCCAACGACATCGGTCATAGTCTTTAAATCTCGATTCTGAAATAAAAAAATCTTATTAAACCAACTGCTGCCTGCCTTTCACTATAAATAAAATACTTGCTACTGACAACTGAACAAGTTAGTAACAATGCTTACTCTAGTAATTACATGATTTGCCAAGTCCACCATATATTTACCAGACTTGTTCCAATACATAAAATCTACTCTAAATTTACCCCTTCTCTAATATATATCATTTTCTATTTATAAACTTCAATCAAGTTTTTTCTCTAAGACAACTAGCAGCAAAATCGTTTCAATCCCACACCCTCTAAACCAGACTTACCTGTGAAATCAGCCACTTCTGGATGAACTGCTGCGGGTCCTTTGCAAAGGAGAGGTAGAACTCTCTGTTGGTTTTCAAGGAATTTATCGTCTCCACTGTCTCGTGGATCTTGGTGTCGAGAGTCTGGATGTCTTGCTGTGAGTTTGTGCTAAGGAGGAAGTTGTTCATTTGCGTCTGTGGATGACAAAAAAAGAGAAAATTTTCATAATGCCAATACTCTTCTGCCTTCACCCCTTGGCTCCAGGTGATGTGACTATTACATCATGAAAAAAATTGGCAGAGGGCTGATTGATGTGAATGTTTTTATTGAAAATTTTGGCTGAGAGCCGGGGTGAAGGGAAAATGCTGTTATGTCAATTTTGCCTGTGGAGTCAGGGTGAGTGCATAAAGCTCTTGGAATGGGATTAGACTCAATGGGCATTTAGGAAGGGTCATGACTGGAGGAGTGCCAGCTCCTGGGAGGACACTAATTCCATCTCAGGATCCAATTCCTGCCCACTATGACTAGCAGCACTAGGTGTATTACATGAAAATGAATATTACAAAAATATTTTTAACCCATTAACGTTGGTATATTTTGAAGCCGAAAACAAAAAATTTGGTGTCGAATTGGTGCACAGGGCAGCCCGCTGCTGCATTGGAGCGCGAGCGCCGATACACTGTCACACTGGCGGGACACCCGGCAATGATTGTTTTTTCGGGTGTCTCATATGTGGGACACCCGTCGTTAGTGGGTTAAAAATAACACAATGAAAGGTTATTTGTTATTGATATTGCACAGAGTTATAGACTACCTAGAGATGATATGAAGTCTGTACACTGAAAACATTCTATTACCATCTGGATATAGCATATCAAATGACAAATAATGTCATGGCATAGAAGCAAAAATTTTTATGTAGAAAAAATATAACAAATATAGAAAGCAGGAGTCTAACATCACATTTTTGTGAGGGCTGGGTCTACAAGCCACACACCCAGTAGAGTTGCCACTCAAGTAAACTTAATACCCAGATTTTGGGACATGTCCGGGCAGCAACAAATCCACATCCAATCGGTTAAGGAAATTATCTTTTTTGAATTAGAAAATAAGGCAATACTGGAAAGAAGACACAACCACAGAAAAAAGGAAAAAGATGGGGGAAGGATAAATCCCACCCCACAAATATCTTTAGAATTCTACCTTCAAATTATCATCCACTTCTACATCAATATCATAGCAGGAGGTCTTCTTTTGGTCAGCTCCTTCTACAGAGATGGTATGGTTGATGACAATCGGGTCTGGTGGGAACAGCAGCTGGTTCAGTCGTCCTGGTATCTCGGCAAACTTCATTCTTGGGACACCAAAGATCTGCAACCATTAGAAAAATTTAGATACCTACAAGCAAGACAAGCAACACAATGGGGATTTGTGTTCGCAAGTCATATGTTCAAACAAAAAATAGAAGTTCTACGAGCCAAACAAGTGAATAACTGTTTAGAACACACAACTTGGATCTGGCTGCCAGCACATGGGACGTATCCTTGCCAAGGGGCATTCGGCTCATTATTGCAAGAATGGATGCAAACCATCAGTATTGAGAAAAAAGAAAAGAAAAGAAAAGAAAAGAAAAGAAAAGAAAAGAGAAAACATGTTTGCAACCATCGAGAGAGAGAAGAGAGGGAGAGATGAGAGAAAGGAGAAGAGAGAGAGGAGAGAGAAGAGAGAGAGACAGAGACAGAGAGAGAGAGAAGAGAGAGAGAGAGGAGGAGAGGAGAGAGGAGGAGAGAGACGAGAAGAAGAGACGAGAGAGAGAGAGAAGAGAGAGAGGAGAGAGGAGAGGAAGGAAGGAAAGAGGAGAGGGAGAAGGAAGAGGAGGATAGGGAGAGGAGGAGGCGATGATGAGAGAGAGAGAGAGAGAAGAGGGAAGAGGAGAGGAGAGAGGGAGAGAGAGAGAGGAGGAGGGAGAGAGAGAGGAGGAAGAGCACACAGTTAGATGAGAGAGAAGAAAGAAAGAGAGAGAAGGAGGAGAGGAGAGGAGAGAGAGAGGAGGAAGGAAAAGAGAGAGCAGAGAGAGAGGAGAGAGAGAAGGAGGATGAAGAGATCGAGAGTAGAGATGGAAGAGGAGGAAGAGGAGAGAGGAAGGAA